CTTACTCCTAAATTAGAGCCAATATTTGGGGGTACTTATTTTCCACCTAGTGATTTTCATGAGAGACCTGGCTTTAAATCAGTTCTTTTGATTTTAGCTGAACAGGTATGAAAATTAAATAAACAATAACTAGTTATTTAAGATAACTAAATAAAGGGTTTTTCGCTAGAATTAATACATACTAAATAAGTACCGTTTCAAACTAATTCTAACTTTACAGTGGCGAGAAAACAGGCAAAAATTTTCTGAAAATGGAAGAAAAATAATGGATTATATAGAACAATCTTCCTCTTTGGATAATTCCATTCTGAATCCATCTGCTGTGAATCCACCTGACATTTCTTGCATTGAAAAATGTTATAATTCTTTATTTAAAAGCTATGAAAAAAATTATGGAGGTTTTAGCGAAGCTCCTAAATTCCCTCATCTTGTAAATCTAAACTTTCTTTTTCATTTATATGCCAGAGAACCCAAATCAGAAAGAGGTAAAACAGCTCTGGCTATGTGCATACACACCTTAAAAATGATGGCCAATGGTGGAATTCATGATCACATTGGAAAGGTTAACTTTATTAAATTTTCTTCCTTTATTTTATTAAAATAAAAAAAAAAAATTTTTTTTATTCTAAATTTAAATAATGGTGCAGGTTATTTTCTAAAAAAACAAATTATTTTAGGGTTTTTCTAGATATTCTGTGGATAATAAATGGCACGTTCCACACTTTGAAAAAATGCTCTATGATCAGGGACAATTAGCGGTATCATATGCTACAGCATACTTGACAACCAAAAACCAATTTTTTTCAGAAGTTTTAGAAGGGATTTTATCTTATGTTGACAGGGATTTAAGCCACCCAGTTAGTTTAAAAAATATAAAAATTGATAATAATAATTTAATATGTTTAAAGGCTTTCTTACTTAATATTTGTTTTTTGTTTCATTTTTAGGACGGAGGTTTTTACAGTGCTGAAGATGCTGATTCCTTATCTGCGCCTGATTCTACTGAGAAGAAGGAAGGTGCTTTTTATGTTTGGACTTATGAAGACATTAAAAAACATTTACCTCAAAAAATACCCGAATCATCTGAATTAACATATGCTGATGTTTTTTGTGAATATTTTAATGTTAAAGCAAACGGAAATGTTAATCCATCAAAGGTTAATTATATTTAACATATTATTAGTTTAGCAACGAGAATATGTATTAACTTAACGTTCGTTTCTGTATTTTGAAATTTTTCTTACAGGATCCTCATAATGAATTAAAAAATCAAAACGTACTGATAATAACAGATAGTGAAGCTGCTGTTGCAGCCAAATTTAACCTTTCGGAAGAGAGAGTGAAACAAATTTTAGATGAAAGTAAAAAAATCTTATTCAATTTAAGAGCTAAAAGGCCGCGACCTCATTTAGATGATAAAATTTTAACTTCATGGAATGGTTAAATTTTAATTTTAAAAAATTATTATTATTATTTTTTTTGAATTAAACAAGGAAATTCACATAAAAAATTTTATAGGTCTTATGATAAGTGGATATGCAAAAGCTGGACAAGTTTTGGGAAATTCTCATTACGTTCAAAGAGCCATTGGAGCAGCCAAATTTATAAGACAACATTTGTATAAGAATGATACCAAAACATTGTTAAGAAGTTGTTATAAATCATCCGATAACACCATAAGTCAAATGTAGGTTAAATTAAAGTATTTAATAATAAAAATATTCTTTATTTTAAAAAAAATTTTATGAAATTAGAAGCATTTAAGTCCATTAATGTTGTTTTAAAATATTTAAGCTTGTTAAATACTTTTTTTTTTTTTTTTTTTAATTAAATTTTTTAGAGCAACTCCAATAAATGGATTTTTAGATGATTACGCTTTTCTTATTCGAGGATTATTGGATTTATACGAAGCGTCATTTGATCCAATTTGGATAGAATGGGCTGAATCTCTTCAAGAAACTCAAGATACTTTGTTTTGGGATGAAGGAGGTGCCGGTTATTTTTCTAGTCCGTCAGGAGACTCTTCAATTCTCGTACGAATGAAAGAAGGTACAGGTTTATGTTCGGAGAAACATTTGAACTTGTGCGGATTCAAAAGCATGATTAAAAATTTATTTATTTTTTATCGAAGATCACGATGGAGCAGAACCTTGCGGAAATTCGGTATCCGTATCAAATTTACTTAGACTCGGAGCTTACCTCGATAAAGCAGAATATAAAGATCGCGCGGGAAAATTATTGGCTGCGTTCACGTCGAGATTGAAAAAAATGCCCGTTATTCTTCCAGAAATGGTTTCGGCTTTGTTACTCTACCACGATGGTCCTACACAGGTAAAAGAGTCATTTTTACTTTTAATGAAAACCTTAAAATTTTAATTGTAATAAATGTACCCCGTGTTGAACTTTAACCCGTGTGTTTATTAATTTTAGATTTTAATAACCGGGAAAAAAACAGATCCAGACACGGCAGCATTATTAAACGTTGTTCAATCGAGATTTATTCCAAATAGAATTTTAGCACTAATCGATGATGACAAAGAAAGTATTTTATATAAAAAAAATGATATAATTCGAACCATCAAGCCTGTTCATGGTCATTCTACTGCATATGTTTGCCATCACCATACATGCTCTCTTCCAATCAATACCAGAGAAGAACTAGCCAAGCTTTTGGATGAATCAAAATAATAATAATAATAATAATAATAATAATACATTTAATTCCAACTTAAAATCATTTGATTTTTAAAAAAAGAAAAACAATAAATTATTAACATCATTTGATTTAAAAGTGCCTGAAATTTCTATCATGTATATATTATTATTATTATTATTATTTTATTGAAAATTGGTTCTTTTAAAAAAAAAAATTCGATTCAATTCAATTCAATTGCTTGTATTTTATTTGGATGAGTAAAAAAAAAAAGTTGATTGATAATTTCTTTTTTAAGAAAAATGTATTGTAGAAATGTAATTAAAAATGTATTCAATTAAAATTTTAAAATCAAAAATTTTTTTTTTGCTGTGATTTTATTCTTTTATTTTTTTATTTTTTGTAGAAAATGTAAAATTTATTAATGCAACTCAAAAGCTCAAAAGAAAATTTTACGTAAAAAATTAGAAATCGAAGTAATTTTTTTTTGTTTGCTTTAAATAGTAAGAATAAAATATA